GTTTTGTATGTCTTAAAAGTGTATTTTCCTTAAATGATTGGGGTGGTCAAAGATTAATTCATGGTGGTCAAGGCCACCATTGGTCACCCCCTTGGCTCCACCAGTGCACTTGGTGGTGGATAAAATTTCTCCCGTCATTCACCAGGATCTGTCACTCTGCGCTGCCTTGGACAAGACAAACAAACAAAACAACCTCCCTCTGTTCTTCTCCACAGTGTAGCTCCTCCCCACTGAAATATTTAGCTCCATTAACATTTAGGTTTACTTCTATCCCCTGTTCAAGTCCAGTCTAGTAAAACTCTCTTCTCGAAAACTATAAACATTCACTATTCAAACCCCTCAGTGACGGGGACATCATCATACCATTTACATTTGAATTGGCTCCCCTGCCATCTTGGTAATTCTTAAAATGATTAAAATCCATATTTGAGGGATGGAGATGCATGTTGGTTATAGTGGACGATTATATTCAGTTAGACTTGTCCAGTCTCTGTCACCAGCTGAGGTATATGATTAGGCCTGTTGCGATAAACAATAAATCAATTAATCGCATGATAAATGCAAATTATCAACCTCATTTTCATTTATCGGCTTTACTGTTTCTTCGTGTCTCTCTCTGAAGACACTTTTTGACAAAAGGCTCAACTCTGGTGCTCTTCACTGACCCCTCCCTTTCTCTTTTCTCTTTAAAATCCATTTTAACGATCCCAAAATCATGTTTTTGGATAATTAAAATCGATTAAGCTAGGAAATAAGCTAACAGGCCGACCTTGGGGAAAAAACCTCTGTCTTGTCGAAGCTCCAAAATTCACGGTTGAAACCCGTGCCTTCGTGTTAAAAGTTTTTCTCTGCAAAAAGAAGCTGAGAACTTGTTTCTGATTTTTTTTTATTTTTTATTAAAAGCTTTGTGTGAAAAATGCTATGCTAAAGAGCTCAAACCACACGATCATCCACCATTTTGAGAACCAAAGAGAGACAGCCCATGTCACGTCAAGGGGCCTCCCTCCCATTTTTCTTAAAGAGACACGCTGTTCGCTCCCTCACTATCCATCCTTCGTTTCAAACAGTCTTATACTGCCATCCGGTGGTCGAAAAAAGTACTACACACAAAATAAATTAACCAGCATTTATTCTTATATTTGACAATAATTACTAATTATTGTCAAATTTCAAACAATATTATCATTTATCACAATAATTTCTGAGGCAATTAATCGCCTAGCAATTTTTTTTTATCGTGACAGGTATATCTGATTAACAAGCAAACACAAATAATGCTTTTTAGTCATCCCTAAAACATACAATTTGCTAAAGGTTGTTCAGTCATTTTAGTTTTAATTGTTAAAAGAAAACATGTGTTCATGTCATGTCAGTCGTGTTCAAACGTAAGTTATTTTGGGAGTTTGTAAATTGACTATTAGCTCTTACCAGCATTCTGCTTGGCTTCAGGACTCACGGCTTCAGCTCATAAATTCCTGTAATTATGACCAGGTTATAGATATTACTGGTCCTCGTATACAATTAACATGTGTAATGATATGAAATCAAGCCGTACCTATAATCTTACAGAAAGGTGAGTCACTTGAGAAGACATTTTTTATTATGTAGTGATTACTGGAACCATAGACAGAGAGCTTCTGACAGTTCTGTCCAATAAACAGCGACTGATTAAAGCTTGCTAGTGACTGATCTTAATGCTAGTTTTATTTTAGAAATCAGGGAAGTTAATAGCAGATTTATGAAGCTAATTTGTTTGTTTGTTTTTGGCCTATAAATGCACAAGTGTAATGTTCATCTATGTTCATGTACCAGATTTTAAAAAACAAAACAGTGACTGAAGAGGTTTGGGCCAGTGCACACAGCCCTTATAACCCCAGTAGTTGGAATAACATAGTGCTCAGAAACAATTGATTAGAAACACTTGGATTTTATGGGTTTATTTTAAAAAACAAATGCCAACAGTATTTTTTCTTTTCACAGCCTGCTGCTCATGTGTGATCAGCTGATCTGCCTCCAGGCCATTAGTGTAATTGCTTAAATCAGGGGTGTCCAAACATTTTCATATGTGGGCCAAAACCTTGAAGATGAAAGGGGTTGCGAGCCACAAAAATGTTAAATAAATAAATAAATAATAAAAAGCGTAAATATTTTTAGCGGGTTTTTTTTGTTAGTTTTTTTTTACTCAGCTTGAACAATATTTTGGAGAAAGAAAATAAATTACTAATTTTGGTGGAGGTGTTCTAAATCATTGTAGATCCACATCATTAAAAGCTTCATAAAGAATCACATTTTATTACTTTATTTTTTAATTAATTTTTTTGATTTGATTGATTTATTGCCAAAATATTGTATTAAACAATATTGCTCATTTTGAGATTTATTTGATTCATTTTGCTGTTAAACCTAAAAATTATCATTAAATTTGCAAAAGGTCTACATCAATCTCTTAAGCTTAAGGGACAAAATTACTGTATTTTCCGCCGCCCGCACCGCCCTATAAGTCGCATCAGTCCAAATATATCTAAAAAGTGGAACAATCCATGAATATGTCGCCTTGCCGTAAACGTCGCATCTATTACGCGTCACCGCTGACACGTCGCATTTGTTACGCGTCACTGCTGACAACCCGGAAATGTGGGCCGGTGTTGTGCCAAAAATCGATGGGCTGCCAAATGGTGGCCGTGAATGCGTACATCGGAGGACTTTAACAAGAATTTAACAAGATTAACACTTAAAAACAATTATTTGTTTGCCCGAAATTATACTAAAGGTGTGTCTCAGTCTAAGGTTTGCTTAATAAAAAGACTTTAATGGTCAGATCAGCTGTACTTGCAGCCTCTGTGCTCCGGGAGCGCATGGAGGGAGGAAAAAAGGTAGGAACGCTGTCCGTTTCTTCGAAGTTTGACAAGAAAAGCACCTAAAACAATTATTTGTTTGCTCGAAATTATAGCAAAGGTGTGTCTCAGTTGAACTTTTACTTAATAAATGCACCTTAATGGTCAAATTAGCTGCATTTCGCTGGGGCGGTGCAGCTGGTTTGATGGGGTTGCTCCAAGCAGCGAGCAGAACGAAGGTGGGGTACTTTGACAAGCCGAATGTGTCATTAATAGCTGGTGAAGATTCTCAGTCATCCAGGACATGGTAAATTCAAAAAAGTTCAAGACAAAAACAATAAAGTATAAAGTAAAGTAAAATAAAAACCAGTTGTTTTTGTCTTGAACTTTTTTGAATTTGTCATTATAGCCATGTTTACCTATTACATGATACAACGGCATGCCTTACTGCTACTACTACTCTGCTGCCATCAAGTGGCTTAAAATGGTACTGTTCAGTTTTTTTTCTAGTCGGAATGATTGAAAACGGTCATATCTCAGCTAAAAAATGGTTTATAAATGTGGGGAAAAATCCATAAATACGTCACTTCGTCCTATAAGTTGGCATGCAAATTATGCAAAAGAAACGCGGCTTATAGGCCAAAAAATATGGGACTGTATACCATCGTTAAACTCCAGTTGCGGGCCACACAAAATCACTCCAAGGGCCACAAATGGCCCCCGAGCTGCACTTTGGACATCCCTGGCTTAAATAGTTTTTTCCTTGAAGCACTGTAACCTGGAACAGAAAAGTAATCTTTCACGTTTAACGACCGAGGGACATCAAAAACTTGATTTTGTTGTTAAACTTAAATATGTCTTTTGGTTGTTTTTTTTTTTTTCATTTTTTTGTCCTTGCTCTACTGATTAACTCGGACAAACCCCACCACTCAAGTTGACTGATTTGACATTCCAAGCATATTCAAGGTAGATTAATTGCTTAGTCAGCTGACTTTTTAAATTTATTTAGATATGTCGTCAGCTAAGCCAGTTAAATGGCCGACACATCTATGGGCAGCACAGCGTGTGTATAATTGACACCAGACCCTTCACTTCTCACAACCAGGACATCTTTCACAAGAAGGGTGCTTTTTTGAATTGCAAACTAAAACTGGATTTTAATAATATATTTGGCAATCAGATGGAACTCCACTACATTAAATGTCCACAGCTGGTCTAGAAAAATGTAGCTAAATGCTAAAACTGAGAGGATCTATGTGAGTTTTGTGATCCTTGCGTCATCTGTCCTGCCCTCAGTGTTTCTCCCTCATGTGATCAGCTCCTCCTCTGCCACCTGTTGTCCTTCCCCAGGTGTTTGTGTTTATCCCCTCGTTAGTCTCTCTCTATATTCTGTATTGTTCCCCCGTCCATAGATTGGTCATGTTCCTGTCTCCCTCTGTGTCTCCTCATCGTTAATGTAAATATAGCTGCCACGTCAGCCGTTTTTGTTTGTATTAATAAATATTCTTTATTTTATTCTTGAGTTCCCGAGTCCTGTCTGCACCTGGGTCTGACCACACCACAGACCGTGACAAAAACTACATGTAAATGTTAAAGCAACACTAAAGAATTTAATGATAACTATAATGACAATAGAAAAATAGAGGAGTGGAAAAAAATGGGTTTATTGTGTGAATGTTTATGAAGCATTCACTCTGTTTCAACAACAAAGGTTGTGATTCAACCTTTTTTGTTGTTATATACCTGGATGACTGAGAAAACAAACTTTGTGTTTTTGAAACCATTAGTGAAAAGGCCAGACTTCAGGGGTATCTGAGGCAGGCTTGAAACACAAGAGTCAGGGTGGCTTCTGGGTAATACCAGATGGCTAGGCCTCAGACTGACGAAGCCTCTTGGATGAGGGGCGAAACGTTTCTTTGTAACAAAAAAAAAAACGAAGTCCAGATGACATGATTCAACCTTTTTTGTTCATAAATCAAAACGTTCAGGAGAAGGGTGTTATGACTTTTGGTATTGGTGCAACTTTAGCTTTTTGAAATATTTAGCCTTTTCTGCCACAGAAAATGAACTGAGCTCATTTTACATCCTTCAAATCTATAGACTTGTTTACATCCTTTTACTGCTCCTTTCACATTTTGTTCTGCTTCAGCTTCTTTCAGCTTCCTTGTGCAAATTTTTACTTTTTTCAGCAGTTTTTTTTTTCAGCTATTTTGTGATCATTTTACATTATTTCTGCTAAATACATTTTTGTGCTTCTTCTAACTTCTTTCTGCTAATTTCAGCTTGGTGTGCTCCATTCAGCTTATTCAAGTTTCAGCTTTTTCTGCTATTTCAGTTACTTTCAGCTATTTTTATTGCAGCTTTTTTGGCTAATTCCACATTTCTTGCACTAATTTAAACTTTTTTCAGCCCAGTTCAGCGAAAACTTGCTCTCTCCTCTTCCTTCTGATAATTTAAGCTTCTTTCTGATTTTTTTAGCTACTTTTCAGCAGTTTTTTTAAATTATTTTTTGCTAATTTCAGCTTTTTTCAGATAATTTCCAACTTCTTTGAGGTAATTTCTGCGTCTTTAAGCTTAATTGGGCAAACATGTTCTTTCTGCTTTCGTCTGCTAATTTATGTCTGTTCTAGCTTTTCAGCTTAGCATTTGCAGCTAATTTCAGCTGTTTTCTGATAAATTCAAATTTTTGTGGTAATTTCTGCTTCTTTTAGCCTAATTAACCTCTTTATGCTAATTTCAGCTTGTGCTCCTTTCAGCTTATTCATGCTAGTTTAAGTTACTTCAGCTTCTGTTTAGCTGTTTTAATGCTAATTGAGCTTTTTCAGCTAATTTCATATTATTTGCACGCCTTTCAACATTTTTAGCCAAATTCAGCTAAAATGTGCTCTTTCCACTTCTGCTAATTTAAGCTTCTTTCTGCTCTTTCAGCTACTTTTCAACTATTTGTTTAGCAAATCTCAACTTTCTTGGCTGATTTACTGATTTTTGTGCTAATTTCTGCTTATTCAAACCAAATTCAGCAAATATGTGTTCTTTCTGCTTTTGTCTGCTAACTTAGGCTTGTTCTTCCATTTCAGCTACATTTCAGCATGTTTTTAGCTAATTTCAGCAGTGTTTTTAATCAATAAGCATTCACACTGCATTTTCGCAGGAAATGCAATTTCTCTAGTTGCAACTGATATTGGCATACTGAATAATAGTATTGCAATTTTATGTTTTTGTAGCATTCTGCTCTAGTTAAAATGACTGGCCCAAAATGAAAAGAAATTGCTTTATTGGCTGCCCAAATTTCTAAAAACTGGCATCAGCATTTCAACACCTCAACCTGATGTTCTTCTGAGAAGCATCAACTGGTTTTCTGTCGCCTTGTTCTCCAGTGTGCTGCAGGAGGTGCAGGCACAGTTCAACCCCGAGGCCATCGTGATGCAGCTCGGCGCCGACACCATGGCGGGCGATCCCATGTGCTCCTTCAACATGACCCCCGTGGGGGTGGGCAAGTGTCTGCAGTATGTCCTGCAGTGGCAGCTACCTACACTGCTGCTAGGAGGAGGTACTCTCTAATTGTGTGTTTATTATTCTGCCCTGATGCTGTGCTTTGTGTGTCCCTGAGACAAACATGTGTTTGTTTATGTGCCTAAAAACAGATACCCAATGTCAGTAGTTCAGCATATCTTTTGTGTGTGTGGATTTTCTTTGAGTTTCAGTGCACACACACAGTCTCTCACACACACAGCGCCCTGTTCCAGACTCCTCAGCCCTCAGCCAGATGATAGCTGCTAATTATACGACACAATGAAGCCATTTTACTCAACTACAATCCGACCTCTCTTCATTTCTCTCCCTCCCTCCTTGTCCTAAATACTTTTTCTCTACGCTATGTCCTCCTTTCCGTCTTGTTTTTTTGTCATTCTCTTGACTTTACTCACATCCACCCTCTTCATTCTTGACTCGGTCTTTGCTTGATGCGTGTCAAAGAGAGCAGAGATGGTTTTTACCTAATATGGTGCCTCCTGCTGCTTTTTGAATATGATGTGTTGCGTCTCATCAGTCTGTTTCTCTTCAGTTCTATTACATCTGACTAGTTTAACAGTCTCCCATGAACTCTGTGGCATCAAACGTGTGTGTAACCATCTGTTTATGTCTCATCAGGAGGTTATAACTTGGCTAATACGGCTCGCTGTTGGACGTACCTGACAGGAGTGGTGCTGGGAAAGACTCTGTCCTCCGAAATACCCGACCACGAGGTAAAACTATGCACAAAAACCCACAGTAACTCATATTTGCATATTCCCACTTGAAGACAAATGTACTCATTGCACTGTCACACACACATTCACATAAACTGCCTGCTGAGTTGCCCATCAAATGAAAAATGCCCATTTTCTCAATAAGCAGGTTTGTCCTCAGGTGAGTCAGACAGGTGGGGGTGTTGACAATCTGATGTGAGTGTTTAATCTAACTACTTTAATGTATACACAATAGATGACATCCAAAATAGAAAGAAAGACAGAGTCTACAATTGTTTGTCTATTATATTTAACCAGAAAAGCACAACGGAGGCTCTTCCTCTCAGCACATAGCTGCAGAAGCTGCTCAGCACAGCTTAGGGGATGTTCAGAGTGGTCCTAATGCCTGACATGTTCGTGAACCATTCCAACCAAATGATTTAAAGTGGCGGGGTCTTTATCAGTGACAATTTCATGAGACAAAATCATGAAACAGGCTTTTTCAGGGCCCTGACACTCTATAACGTTTCAGACAACTTATGCTGACTTTTGAAAAGTTTGTCCAACACACTGGCATACTCTGAAGATGAAATTAAAAAAACAACTGAAAGCCTCTTGCAAGTATACATACCGTAATACTAACGAGTTGAATGAATATAACCTATTTTTAACATATGAGTACATTTTCTATAACTTGTTCCTAGTCAATACGTAACTTATACAAATGTATGACAACGTTTTTGACTTATGCACAACATTAGTGTAACTTATTCCAAACTTGAGCACAGCAAGTTGGATCGTTTTGTGGCATCAGATATATCAAAATTTTCAGCCTATAAGTCGCGTTTTTTGCACAGTTTGCATATTCTGCAACTTATATGCTGAAGCAAAGTATTTATGGATTTTTCCCATATTTATAAATCAATTTTTGGCTGAGATATGACCGTTTTCATTCATTCTGACTGCAAATATTGAACACTACCATTTTCAGCCACTAGATGGCACTCGAGTAGTATGTTATGCCATTGTGTCATGTAATAGGTAAAAGTGGCTATTAATGACACAGTCGGCTTGCCATAAACTACCACCTTCATCCAGCTTGCCTGGAGCAACCGTCAAATCAGCTTCATTTCGCTGCGGTGCCCCAGAGAAATGCAGCTAATTTGACCATTGAAGTGCATTTATTAAGTAAAAGTTCGGCTGAGAAACACCTTTGCTATAATGTCGAGCAAACAAATAATAGTTTTAGATGCTTATCTTGTTAAATTTTGAAGAAATATGCAGTGTTCCTCCTTCCTGATTTCCTCGGAGCACCAAGGCAGCAAATACTTGTGAAAATGCAGCTGATTTGACTGTCAAAGTGCATTTATTAAGAAAAAGTTAGACTGAGACACACCTTTGCTATAATTTAGAGCAAACAAATAATTGTTTTTAGGTGTTATCTTGTTAAATTTTGAAGAAATGCACAGTGAGTCGTCCCTCTGTGCGTTCCCGCGGACGCCAATCGGCGTATGAAATGCAGCTGATTTGATCGTCAAAGTGCATTTATTAAGGAAAAGTTAGACTAGACACACCTTTACTATAATTTCGAGCAAACAAATGATTGTTTTTAAATGTTAATCTTGTTAAATTCTTGTTAAAGTGCTCTCGTGCACGCTCCCGTGGCCATCATTTGGCAGCCTATCGATTTTTGGCACAACACTGGCCCACATTTCCGGGTTGTCAGCGGTGACGCGTAACAAACATGGCGCCTCAGCGGTGACGCATAATAGGTGCGACATATACGGCGAAGCGATATATTTATGGATTTTTCCATTTTTAGACATGTTTAGACTGATGTGACTTATAGGGCGGTGCAACGTTATACATGTATATGGTAAAAAGGGCAGCTCTCTGCCTTCTGCTGCCCTTCAGTAATTTTGCATCGATCAAAATGCCTCAGAAGAAAACAAACAAATCTGTGATCAAGGAAACTGCAGCAAGGGGCCATGGTCAACTCACTCATACTTCAGTGTCATCACCTTCCCACCTACCCTCACTTTCATTTGCATCTAATAAACATTCAGACGACGATGGCCATTGTCGCTCTTGTGCCGGCTCCAATGCCTCTTCAGTAGCATCTGTGGTGACGCATGTCAACTTGAGTAACCTACATGTAATGTATGTGAAACTGTGCATAACTTACCTGTTGCATCCCTGTAACTCATGCCTAACTTATCAGCAACATGTTGAAATGTTGTGCATGCATACAATTTTTGGCTGGCATTGGCATACCAAAACTTATGCCATTGTATGGTCAGCATGCAGGTGACTTATTCAAAATTTACACCAAACTTTTGCAACTTACACCAGCGTAAATGCATTATTTATTCATATGTCTGCATACTCTGATGGGTCACTGTGTGACAGCCTCTTTATGGATTTGCAATACAGTTTTAAACTCGTTGTGGGGGGTGGGGGTGTTTTGGCCTTGTAAAATCTCATAGCACAATAACTTGGTTCACCCTATTTAAAAGTAGAGAAAAGAAAGTATAAGAGATAAAGTAAATGTATGAGTTATTTAAATAGACAACAGATAACATGGTTGAAAACATGCATTTTGAGAGTTTCGTGAAAAAGTGTGAGGAAAGTTCAGCACAAAATATTTCATCAGTTCAGGAAAAATATTTCACAATATAGTATAATTTTACATTTTAGAGCTGCTGAAAGAGTTATATAATAATCGAAAACTCGGTACACGGAACACAAAATGTTGTTGTGATCAGTGATGTGCACAGCTAACCAAAAAGTTAACTTTGCTAACCCATACTCCGCTAACAGAAAAATTAGCTTCTCTAACGCTAAACCGCCAAACGGGTTAAAAAATTTGCAGAAGCTAACACTAATCCACTAACCACTTAGACGACTGTCACTCAGTCTGCGTCACGACGTCTTCTCCTTCCAGTTGAAGTTGCGTCGAACAATCACATCTTGTCACGTGCTTATGTGGTCAGCCAATAGCGTGCCTAACGGACTCTACTAACGAGACACGCCCACAACAGACAGGAACAAGCTTGTGAATTTTGTTAGTAGACAATGTTGGTGAACCTTATTTAATTTTGCCATCGGTTTTCAAATGTAGCGAAATTGCTAATCCACTAAACGAAAAAATGAAATAGTTCTGCTATTAGTTGTTAGCGGATTAGCGGAACTGTGCCCACCAACGGTTGTGATCTTCTTTGTCTTGCTGCCACAAGTGCAAATAAAGTTCTGCTGGGAAAGAAAACCCAATCTTTAGACATCCAGATCAGTGTTCCCAGCCTCTTTGGATCTGGACTCAGTTAAAATCAGTGGATTAGGTCTTTATGCTGACCAAGCCGTGTGTGAAAAGGAAGGATCCTGCCCTCTGACTCACTCGCAGTTTGAACCTAATGAATCATGACATTTTTATCTTGGAAGATGCTTGTATCATCAAGGAAAAGGAAAAACATTGATTGATAAAAGAAAATCTGACCATTCAATATATTTATGTAGACAAGTGACCTCATTTATTGTACAAATAACTTATCTGAATCTTTATCTGACTAACTGATTTAACCGCAAACTAATACTACCCCCACAGGCCTGTGCAGTAGGCACAAGGCATGATGGGAGCCTATAGCAATAGTTCAGTTTAAAAGTGAAGTTCTGTGCATAGATTATGAACAGTTATCTGTTTCAGATAACTCTTTGAACCACTTCAGCTAGGAGAATCTATTTCTGATCAGACTGATGAGCTAATGGCTAGTCTAAGCGAGATTAGGAATAAAGTGGATTGTTTTCAGCTTTAAAAAAACATAAGAGTTTCATGGTCGGTTCATGTAAATGCTAGTTTTAGAACCCTTACACTGTTATCAGTTTCACGTTACACTGGCATTTACATACAATTCTGTGGTTATTTGCAAGCTCTAATAATGGCATCAGCAGCTAGCTGTAGCACTGCCAGTGTAGCACGAGGCACTTACAGCAGGAATATCATCCTAGTTATGCTGGAGTACGTATAACTAACCAGAAGACCCACTGTATATCCCAGTTCATTGCATTGCTTTTTGTTTCATCTTTTGTTTGCTTTTTTTTTGTACACCTTTTAAAAAACATTTAAAAAATGTTTTGTTTTTATTTTTCAGACAAAGTCTAACCTTTTATGTGCAGGGCTTTCAAATAGGAATCAGTGGATCCATCTGTTCTCCTTCCTCCTGTATTTTCTCTAGGACAAAGAGGCTCTCTCTCTCTCTCTCTCTCTTTTCCCAGCAACTGGTTTTCAGACTTCATCGTGGTCAAATGTAATGAATCACTGTGAGTGCCTGTGTGTGTGTGTAATCTGAGTGAGATGAAGGTACCTCTTGTTTCTGCTCGCCAGCGTTCAGTGGTCCTAAATAGCCTTTGACCTCATTAAGAAGCACTCACCGAAAACAAAGCAACTATCAGTGCGGACAGCTGCCGTAGATGACGATCATGAGGAGGCACACACGCAAACGCACACGTTTTTCTCTTGAAACCAAAAATGAAAGAACATCTTAACAGCTTGTCTTTATTGAACATGACAGAGTTGATGTCTTCTTGAAATTGAAAGGATGTGATTTATTAAGGTGATGTTTCAGTACTATAGTCACAGAAATGTGTGTGTTGGTGTTCATGTGTTCAGGGCTCAGCCTGCACTTGATAAGAGGGGCATTATCCATGATGACCAAGCAGAGCTGAAGTCTCAGCAACATGGGAAACAAAACCTACCTTTATAGCCCTCTGTGTGTGTGTCTCAACCCTTCTGCTCTACTGTAGACCACATGAATGAACACATTCATTACTGTCAGATAATGCGCCGGACTGTTTTATAGAATTTTCACGTGTTTCACTGTCGGATTAATCTCTATCACTGTGGATGAAACAGATGTTAGTCAAATAGGAAACTGTTGAAGGTGCTCAAGTAGAAGTGGACTAAAATTTATTTTAATTTTGTTGCTTTATTTCAATTACAATCACTGACAAAACAAGTTAGGCAC